ATTTATTCTAAACACGCTGTAGCTCAGACGATTGCACATAAAGTTATACTAACCAGCCTAATAATTACAACCTTATACTTTCGGAATATGGGCGACAATCCTTTAAAGATATTTGGTAGTTTTAGTATACCTTGATCTGCGGTTTATATTTACAAAAGGTATTTTTTGCAACAATACGTCTAACTGTATCTGGAACTGTTAACTTTATTTATCACTTTTATATTAAGTGGATTGAAGGTGTATCGCGCTTGGTAATCAATGGGGGTAAGCATTGTGAGTCAATGTGAGTGCTTATTGTAGTTTTTTTTAAATCATCAAATGACTGCTCCCGTCTGGATGAGGCGGGAGGGAGTGTCAGACTCTTACTGACTAAAAACCACCCCGTTCCTACTCCTGCATATTCAGGAATTAACTAAAAATCGCGGGTTACTCACGTGAATATAGGTACTGAGAAAAGCTCTACTAGTTTCGAACCACAGAGAGGTTCTTCCTCATGAGCAGCGTGCGCGGTCACAGCGATGTCACGCTGCCTACTGTACTATACTACAGTTTTTGTACAGTCCGCGATTTTTAGATAATTTAGTATGTCTCACGATAGTTATTATAAAAACACGATTTCTTTTTATGGCATTCATAAACGAGCAGACGGATCACCTGATGGTAAGCAATCGGCGTCGCCCATGGACACTTGGAACACCAGAGGCGTTACAAGTGCGTTACCGGCCTTTTGGGGATTAGGAGTTTGAGGATCGTTGGGGATTCAGGGATTGGGGAGATTCGGGAAGGGAAAGGTAATTGGGCCTCCGGTAACCTCACTCACACGTCGATCAGGCGATCAGGAAGTTACGATAAATATTATTGAATAATATTAAAAAAAAACAATAACTTCGGAAATTGCAGGCGGAAATACAATAGGTCAACAATTTTTATTGAATACCCCAATAAACGATAACAGACCAAATAATAATTAAACGATCCCTATATTTAAGTGACTGCCGCATGGTGACGACCATTTAGTCATTTGTCACCATCTCTACTCTTCCCGCGGGTGTCGTATACCCGACTAAGGGACTACACATTAGACAGAGCCCGTGCAGCAGCGCACTCTGATAAACCTGAACCTTTTATACTGCGGTTTGTCAACACCGCTACTCTTCCCGCGGGTGTCGTATACCCGACTAAGGGACTACACATTAGACAGAGACCTGGCAGCAGCGCTCTCTGGTAAACCTGAATCTTTTACACTGCGATCTCCAACTCGGCTGCCTGCGGAGATTATGACAAACCCCTCTTATGTAGAGGAGGCTCATAGTCCAGCAGTGGACTGTGACGGACCGTTGATAATGGTGATGATAGTGATCTATGTGAATTCCTCAGTGGTTAAGTGGCGCCAGTGTGACTTTGGAGCCGTGGGGTCCCGACAAAGGCAATTGGGTAAAGTATTCTTTTATTTTCTTTTAGAAATTTCACATTAAGAAGTCAACGTGTAGCAGGATCGATTCCCGCACGGTGCAACTCTTTGTGTGATCCACAAATTGTTGTTCCGGGTCTGGGTGTGATGTGTATGTGAACTTGTATGTTTGTAAACGCACCCACGACACAGGAGAAAATCCTAGTGTGGGGCAACGTTGTTTTAAAAGAAAAGAAAGATTATTGAGTCAATGATTGTTAGAAATGATGAAGAGTAATATGGTAGAACCTGGGCTTATAATTTCTTATTATAAGTTTGAAATCGCCAACCCTCTGCTCGTTTACCGTTAACCCATAAATACCAAACTTTAAGTCTGTGCCTATCTCATATAGGGGGTAAATGGAACGCCTCCAAAAACAAATACAATTATGTTTCTTGTCATAATATTAATCGTAAATAAAAATAAATAAATAAATAAATTAATCGTTTTTGATTTTTCGTGTTATTCATGCAAAACGCTTGAGTAATTGATTATAACTATTATTACATAAAATAATTACATAACATCTCGCCTTTTATCCCCGAAGGGGTAGGCAGAGGTGCACATTATACCACTGTACAATGTAACACCCACTTTTCACTATTTATGTGATGGCTCCCATGTAATAGGGGGTGAGCCTATTGCTATATACCGGGCACAATTCCAGACTCCGTGCTACTACTGAGATTTTTTTAAACTTAGTAATACTTTGCCCGACCCGGAAATCGCACTTGCGACCACTCGGCCAACGAGGCAGTCTTAAATAATTATTATTATGGCAAACGCTCTTAGGTATGTAGGAGAAGCTCATTATTTTTCACCATTGCACCTGTCATCACCTGTCTTCGTCTTTTGGTAGAGAGATTGTTTTATCAGTGCTTATCCCTGCTATAAGGAGTCGTGATGTTATGTCTAGAAATACGTGCAGGTATTTATAAAATGTAAACGGTTCATACTTACATTTGGTTCTGTTTTTTGTAGCCATTTTTTTAGTTTTCATGTCACATATCAACAGTACTGCCAAAGCCAAGATCAGAGTACGGTTTGTAGAAAAAGGTTGAAATATTTTTTGTTTATTTTTATTTTGTAGTGTATTTGGACTGGATTGTGAAGTAAATGTGGTTGATTAAGTTAGTGATTAAGACTAAGAGTGGGTGAGCCATGCTTCGGCACGAATGGACCGGCTCGACCGGAGTGATACCACGGCCGAGCAGAAAACCGACGTGAAGTAACGCTTACGTTGTGTTTCGTCGTGTGAGTGAGGTTACCGGAGGCCCAATTACATTATCCCCAACGATCCTCAAACTCCTAATCCCCAAAAAGCCGGTGACGCACTTGTAACGCCTCTGGTGTTCCAAGTGTCCATGGGCGACGCCGATTGCTTACCATCAGGTGATCCGTCTGCTCGTTTACCAGCTTATGCCATAAAAAAAGTGATTTCGAGTTGGTTTCCTGGCCTGGGTAAAAGTGTTATAAGGGTTTTTCTGTTTGGAAAGAAGATACAGGTTTGATACCGAAGCAAAAGAGCTGATTTGTTTTGACTCTTTGTAAATATAGTTGTGTTACAAAATTACTTGCTGTAATTATGTAAGGAAAATGCGTGTTACGTTGATAATGTGCAACTTTGGCCAATTTTTCAGAATCTGAAAATAAATGTTTTAAATTGTTATGATTGTCAATATAATAATTTTAAATAATATCTTAAAAATCGCGGGTTACTCACGTGACAATTGCGAAATCGCCGCGATCGCGCACGCTGCTCATGAGGAAGAACCCCTCTGTGGTTCGAAATTAGTAGAGCTTTTCTCTTTTTTTTAAAGTTAATTTAGTAGTTCATGATAGTTAAGAAAAAATATAATATTACGTACTTTAGAATGGTGTCCGATATTTGGCATTTTTTTTTAAGAGGCGAAAATCATCGAATGACTGCTCCCGCCTGGATGAGGCGGGAGGGAGTGTCAGACTCTTACTGACTAAAAACCTCCCCGTTCCTTCTCCTGCACGTCGAGCCGGAGCCCCGCTTACCCATTAGGTTCTCTGCGACTCCGAATCGGCATCGGCCCTATTGGGCCCCATCTGTGGTGGTCTGATGGCTCTTTGGGGCGCGCGCAGAACGCAACGCGCCGTACGCTCGGGTCGATATTTGGCAATAGATATCGCCTACCTCTTTCTAGGTCGAAGAAAACACTGCTTTCGGTTTGGAAAATTTCGGAAATATGCTTAAAACTAAGTTTGGAATTATATTCATTTATTATTATTTTATAACGGGGCTACTAAATAACATTACTGTCAAAATGTTGCGTGTTTACAGTAACTTTAAATTGTTATATGAAATATGGCTACTTAGCGATTGTAGCAAAAGTTTGTAAGTAAGTCTACAATAGTTTAGATTTTTTTTCTAATGCGAGTTCTGTGTCTGCCATACTTAAGTATACTTTTTTATTATTTGTATCTGAAACTGTACATAACTATAAATAGTATCATAAAATATCAAGGTAATATTTTTTTGTTATTTTTTTAAGGGGGGAATATTTAAGTGTGGGAGAGCCTTGCTTCGGCATGAATGAGCCGGCTCGACCGAAATGATACCACGGCCGAGCAGAAAACAGACGTGAAGCAACGCTTGCGTTGTGTTTCGTCGTGTGTGTGAGGTTACTTGAGGCCCAATTATCCTCCCCAACCCCAATCTCCCCAATCCCTGAATCCCCAACGATCCTCAAACTCCTAATCCCCAAAAGTCCGGTAACACACTTTTAACGCCTCTGGTGACTGGTGTTCCAGGTGTCCATGGGCAACGCCGGTTGCTTACCATCAGATGATCCGTCTACTCGTTTACCGGATTAAAAAAGTCATCGAATGACTGCTCCTGCCTGAGTGAGGCGGGAGGGAGTGTCAGACTCTTACTGACTAAAAACCACCCCGTTCCTTCTCCTGCACGTCGAGCTGGAGCCCCGGTAACCCGTTAAGTTCTCCGCGGCTCCAGTCTTTGAAAAATTTAAAAGAGTACGACAGCGATACTGAATTAAGTCACCTACTATAAATACATTTTTTTTTGAGGGGGGAAAATCATCCAATGACTTCACCCGCCCAGGTGAGGCGGGAGGGAGTGTCAGACTCTTACTGACTAAAAACCACCCCGTTCCTTCTCCTGCACGTCGAGCTGGAGCCCCGGTAACCCGTTAAGTTCTCCGCGGCTCCATATCGGCATCAGCCCTATTGGGCCCCATTTGTGGTGGTCTGATGGCTCTTTGAGCGCCGCGCCGTACGCTCGGGGGGTACTTTATAGATATGAATGTCTTCTAAGAAAGTAACTGAACAGTTGAAATAAATAAATTCAAATAAAATACAGGTAATTTGAAAGAATATTTATTATGGCTAGGGCTTTTTAACAGGGTAAGAAAAAAAACTAGGGAAAAAAATTATATAAAAAATACTACAAAATTATTAACGCGGCTCTTTGCCTGCTGACCGTACAGAATCATTGCAAATTCCTCAAGTAAGGTTCGCTTAAGACGTTTATAAAAGACGGACACAGTAACTGCCCTGTCTATACATGAGAATTTGTGAGAGAATCCGGGTGTACGCACTAGTATCGATAGAGAAGTGAATTTCATATTATTTTCTGTGTAAAATAGGTATATACTGTGTTTGTTGTGAATTTTTTTTTAATTTTTTTTTTGGTGTGGTTGGAAGTAGGTAGGTACGATTTTGTTTTTTTTAATCTTTTTTTTTAACATAATTTTTGTTTTTTTTATTTATCGAGTTAGGTAGATAGAAGTATTGATGGTAAAAGTGTATCTGATCGTGTCGTGTCTGTGAGTCGTTCGGTCGATCGAGTGATTGCAAGGTTCGATTACCGGGTCTATCAAAGTATTACTCATTACTTTTTCGAAAATTGTTACCTACCCTTGAACCTAAAATTAAGTCTGATATATGACAATATGCTCTCTCGCTATTCATTAGGAGTCGTAACATTAGTGTACCATCTCTGCCTTTGAGACTGAAAAGGCGTTATGATATACTCTGGGCAGCAGCGCTCTCTGATAAACCTGAACCTTTTATACTGCGGTTTCCAACCCGCCTGCCTAGAGACTATGGTAAACCCTCTTATGTAGAGGAGACTCATAGTCTAGTGGTGATGTGATATGAATTAACATAACATTACGCCTATTATCCTCGAAGGGGTAGGCAGAGATGCACATTACGGTACTTATTGCCACTGTACAATGTAACACCCACTTTTCACTATTTATGTTATGAGTCCCATGTAATAAGGAGATATTGCCATATACCGGGCACAATTCCAGACTCCGTGCTACTACTGAGAGTTTTTTATTACAATCTAGGAATACTTTGCCCGGCTCGGGAATCGACACCGAGACCCCTTGCACTTGCGACCACTCGGCTGTTGAGGCATATATAATGAATTAATCGATGATATAATTCAGTTTTGAACATGATCTAGTGTTTGTTAACAGTTTTAAAACCATTACTATACTTGATTCAATAACACGAAACAATAGGTTTCTGATATCAGAATAATGTTTTTTTTAAATATATTTTTTATAAATATTTTGATGAAGGAGTTTGGTGTACTATTTTGATCTATATATAATGCCTATTGTTCATTTCGAGGTACCATTGACCTGTGAAACGGGTAAGCGTACACTTGTCTGTGAAATATTAATTTTAAAATTGGATTTTTCGAAAATAGTGTATTTTTTTTGTTGTAATAAGTGTGTGTTAAGTTCTTACATTCGTCGTGTTGATAGGGTAAAGGGATTTCTTTATATTTCTGTTTAGATTTCTTTTCTTATCCTCTATTTATTCTTCTGATTTCGCTGGTTGTGGGATTCAAGACAGTTTTTGTCCCTGATACGTTGGACTTCAGTGTTCCGGTGTTTCCATGGTTGTATCTACTGTAGATCCTGGTGCACAGGAGTTGCAGCGGTTTTGGGAGATTGTGGATAGCTTGTCCTAATAAAAAAAGTTAAAATTTTAAAATACTATATTCGTTACTTATTATATCGGGATTGCCCAGTTATTTGGGTCGATTTATTTTTTAAGTTGTTAATTTCGAAAATTTCAGCAGGTATTTATTGAAATGTTATCAGAAATAAGGCGCAGTGTTTGGCAATAGGGTTATCTATAAAAATCTATATATAAAAAAAATCAACGAAATATATGGCTATATTTCGTTGAAAAAATGAAAACCTAAATAACAATTGTTTGTTTTTTTTACTAAACTTATCCTATATTATTTTTTGTTTTGTATTTCAAGATTTAAAGTTTTTCAGTAGTTGGTTTGTTTTCCAAAATCTATATATATATATATATAATTAAAATAAAGTCCTGATTTGGCTGAAAATTGATGGAGAGATAGCTTAGGACCAGGAGACGGACATAGGATACTACCTCTATTTATCTAATTCCTTTTTTTACTTTTTACCGAAAATCACGAACGAGAACAGGAAACAACTGGATTGCGCGTACGAAGTCGCGGGCAGAAGCTGATATTAAAATAGACGTGACTAGCAAAAATATGTGTCTTCTCCCTTATTTCATTTGGATATTTATTTAATTAATTTTTTCGCTGAAACACCTGAAATGTAAATGTTTAAATGATTTTTTGACTACTTTATTGTGGACACAAGTGTAACTTCTATCCCAAGGTATGCGAGCTTGATTGCCCGATCGTGCAGAGTAGACGGACAATGCAACTTTAACGTTTCAAAAAATAAATGCATATTCCTTTATGTTTAGTAGATTTATTAAAACAAAAGCGATATTTGAAATCTATCAAAGCGATTTATGACACTTTAAAAATGTTTTCTTTTTTTTAGGTGCGAAACAAAATGGCGTTGATTCGACCTACACATCTGCTGATCCTCTTCTTGATAACCTTCGTGCAGACTGAACGAGTCAATGTACAGATGAGACAAATTGTTCCCATTAACAATTTGAGAGTAAGTTATATTTTATTATTATTTTTACCTCATATTACATGGGACTCCGAATCCTTGTTTACTGCTCTCTGATTGGTTGGTTCCTTGAAGTCGACCAATCAGAGGCTTTAGTATGAGTTTGTCTTACGTCTAAAGTAGGTAATCAAAACGAGACGACGTTCGGCGCTCCGTATTTCTGTATTCTGTTTTTAAAAAAACGCCCCACCCTAAGATTTTCTCCTGTGTCGTGGGTGCGTTTACAAACATACAAGTTCACATACACATGACGCCCAGACCCGGAACAACATTTTGTGGATCACACAAAGAGTTGTTCCTTTTTTATGGCATAAGTCGGTAAACGAGCAGACGGATCACCTGATGGTAAGCAATCGGCGTCGCCCATGGACACCCGGAACACCAGAGGCGTTACAAGTACGTTACCGGCCTTTTGGGGATTAGGAGTTTGAGGATTGTTGGGTTGTTGGGATTTCGGGGATTGAGGGGGGGGGGGTGTAATTGGCCCTCCAGTAACCTCACTTACACGATGAAACACAACGCAAGCGTTGCTTCACGTCGGTTTTCTGTGAGCTTCAGCTTAGCTCTCCCACACTTGTTCCTTGCGGGAATCGAAATCGCGACACGATACACGGCAGCTGGTTACCTGGTCATCGCACTAACCGTGCAGTCTAGGCAGCCCCAACCAGCCGTCTGGTAAAAAGATTTATATTTAACATGTTAACTGCATCGTGGAGTTGTCAAATGTAACTGTCGAGCTAGAAGTTTCTGAACATGGGATTGATTTCCGGATCGGGCAAATAAAAATACATATTTTACAATAAGTAATGGAATCCACTTTATTAATATACACAAACTAAAATAAAATAAATACTAACAATTACTAAATATATACAACTTAAGATAAAGATAAAATTAAATAAAAGAAAACTAAAAATAACTATTTACTTACACAGAGCATCAAAAAATTCGTCCGCATCAACGTCAATAGGGATAGTACCAAGAAGGCTGGCAGCATTGCCACGTTGTATGGCAATGCTTAACCTGTGTTTGAGAAATAGACCAGCCCTCTGGTCACGAGATGCATCGACCAGAGCAATGAAATGAATGATATTTATAACTTAATTTCCATTTTTAAAAAACACAAGATGTTATGTAGGTACCTATTTATTTATTCGAAGGAGTTCAGCCACAACACAAACATATAACATTTAAAAAACACGATCGGAACAAAATAATGGTCTGATGCCTGTGACAATATCACAATAATGTCGCACATAGCATTGGCAATTCAACCCAGCTGTCGCGAAGGACACTCCTGAGGCCTTAGTAAGAGTTTATTTTACGTTTAAAAAAGTAATCGTTACGAGTACGCATCCGGCGCTCTGATTGGTTGGTTCATTGGCGCCGGCCAATCAGAGTGCCGAACGCGTACTCGTTACGCATACTTTAAACTTAAAAGAAACTCGTACTAAGGCCTCTGGTGTCGGGTATTGCGGGACGATCTCCTGCCACCGCGCACCGTAAGCACGGGCCTGCGGACGGCGAGCATGGGTGGCTCGCCGCCAGAGTGCTTACTCTTGAAACCAATTCCAATGTCAATGCAATTTCAATCCAATAAAATCTCAATAATTACTCAATGTCAAAACCAAACCCGATCATAGTTGTTAAAATAGCATTTAGAGTACGGAATATAAAGCCAAACTCAATACTATTTAGTTCATTCAATGTCCACGCAATACGGATGCAATGGGCGCTAGTGTTGCAACTCAAGAGTACGAAATTTCACTATACCAATGTCGGTTGATCGGAATTGGATTCACGAGTAAGCCTCCTGAACCAGACCCGAGCGTGCGGCGCGTCGCGTACCTCCTCAAAGAGCCATCAGACCACCACAGAAAGGGCCCAATAGGGCTGATACCGATACGGAGCCGTGGAGAACTCAACGGGTTACTGGGGCTCCGGCTCGAAGTGCAGGTGTAGGAACGGGGCGGTTTTTAGTCAGTAAGAGTCTGACACTCCCTCCCGCCTCGCTCAGGCGGGGGAACTCATTCGATGATTTTCCCCCCTTTAAAATAAGTATTGGCAATTGATCAGCTTATCAATGCCTTAAAATAGAAAATAGAACCTACTTTATAGTAGGTTGACTGCCTCGTTGGTCGAGTGACTGCCTCGTTGGTCGAGTGGTCGCAAGTGCGACTGCCCGGCAAGGGGTCTCGGGTTCGATTCCCGGGTCGGGCAAAGTATTACTGGGTTTTTAAAAAAGATCTCAGTAGTAGCACTGAATTGTGCCCGGTACATGGCAACAGGCTCACCCCCCCATCACATGCGACTCATAACATAAATAGTGAAAAGTGGGTGTTACATTGTACAGTGGCATAATGTGCACCTCTGCCTACCCCTTCGGGGATAAAAGGCGTGATGTTATGTTATGTTTATAGTAGTAGTGTATTTTACAGTATGTTTCATCATTTTCAGGAGGTGACTAACAACACTAAGGCTGATACACTGAACTTGCCAGCAAACGCTTCTTCTATCAGAGAAAATATCACTGATACTTTCAGGTGAGAATTTCACTTTTTTAACCAACACCTCGTTGGCCGAGTGATCGCAAATGTGACTGTGAAGTATTACTTGGATTTAAAAAAAATCTCAGTAGTAGCACGGAGTCTGGAATTGTGCCCGGTATATGGCAATAGGCTCACCCTCTATTACGTGGGACTCATAACATAAATAGTGTAAAGTGGGTGTTACATTGTACAGTGGCATTAAGTGCCGTAATGTGTACCCCTGCCTATTTCTTCGGGGATAAAAGGCGTAATGTTATGTTATGTTATCTTAACCGACATCCCATATTACATGGACTCATAACATAAATAGTGATTAATTTATAAGACTTCGTTGGTTGAGTGTGAAAACTGTGACTGCTGAGCAAGGGGTCTTGGGTTTGATACCTGAGTCAGGAGAATTACGTATACTTTAATTAATTATTAGCTTTTTTGAAATTATTAATAACAACACAAAGTTTTAAATCGTTGTTAGATTGTATTTTTTACCAATACATAACTGGTTTTGCCTAATAAAAACATTTCTAACTAGATTCGATCAGCGGCTTCGGCTTTCGCTTAGGATAAAAATCCTATGTGTTATTCCAGACCATACCAGACCTACCTACCCATGTTCTAAATATCATCCCGGTCCCTTCAGCTGTTTTGACGTCATTGAGATTGAAACATACATACAGACAAACACATATTTCTTTTATAATATTAGTAATATTTTTGCACGTCTTTGTCCACAGCTGCGAGAACCGAACCTACGGCTACTACGCTGACGTGGACAATGATTGTCAAGTGTTCCATGTCTGCCTACCTTCTCAAACGCCTTCAGGTCGCAATGTTACGTACAGATGGAGCTTCATTTGTCCTAACCAAACCGTTTTTAATCAGGTAAGGAATCAACATGGATTTAACCGACTTCACAAAAGAAGGTTCGAAGTTTCACTTGCATATATGTTTGTGCGCGGTTTTCTCGTAAATGGCTGAACCGATTTTGATGTGGTATTCACTAAAGTGTTTGATACACTTAAGAGAAGGTTGGTTTGATAAGCTTAGTCTTACATGGTACTTTAAAGACAACTGGGGCAAAGTATATGTTACGTGGCAGATGTCTGCTTACCCCTTTGGGATTAAAAGGTGATGTTATGTAACTTTACGTTAAAATATTACAATTCAGTGAAGCGATAGACGATGACAATCATCGGTTGGTTATCAAAATCAAAAAACATTTATTTGTGTAAAAAAATACAAGCAGTTCGTATTGTTATAATAATTTAGGCTCCTTATTTTGCCGCCCAAATTAATGGACAAAATTATCAGATACTATACATACATGTCACACGGAATCCATATACTTTGCTTATATTAATTTAAACACACATTTACAAAAACATGAAAATTAATCATGAAATTTCAAATTACAGGAAGTTCTAACCTGCACATTTGCAGCCGACTCAATCGACTGCAAAGATTCTCCCGACTTCTACCACCTAAATATGGAAATAGGCAAGGAACAGGAGAAAAAAGAAGAAGAAAAGAAAGAGAACAACAGAAAAATCCAAAAGAGAAAGCCGGAGAAGAGACGAGAGAACATCATAATGCATAACTCTATTATGGAAGAAGAAATGAGAGATATAGAAGATGATTTGAGGGAACATTTAAAACCATCATTGACGCAAAAAGCTGATGATGCGCCCATACTGTTAGAAGCTGTAATCGAAAACGTAGATTCTGAGATGGAAGATGCGGAAATAGAACAAAAGAATGAAGAAGAACTAGACAGAATTGTAATGGAGAAGAATATGAGGAACATGAAAGATATGTACGGACAAAGAGATAACCATAATGATAGAAGAGATAATGATAACGACAGAATAGATAACGATAATGATACAGCAGATAATTATAATGAAAGAGATATTGATGATGGAAGAGAACTGGAAAAAGGGAGGGAAGTAATGAGGAATGAGAGGGTTTTAAGAAGGCAGACTTTTAGGTTCAGGAGTGATGTTTAATTCATGAAATTTTAGTTTTTGGTCTATCACTATTTTCAGCAGCCTCATTAGATAGTTGTCTAATGCGACAACCCTTGATTCCCGCATCGGGAAACATTATTAAAGATTTTCGATTTCGAAAATTTATTGCATTTTTATCTTATTAGTTGTCAAATATAATGATTGAGGTTTCAGGTTCGATTCCGAGCTGGAAAAAGTGTTATAGAAAGTTTCGATTTTGGAAATTCTTTGTAGGACTTTTTATAGTTTGGGATTTGGGCCAGTGTATGGTAATAGGCACACCCCCTATTACATGGGACTCATAACATAACGGGTGAATAGTGGGTGTTACATTTTGCCCTTTGCTGCCCAAAAACGTTAAATACACTTTTTTGGAAATAAGTTAGACCAAAAATTAAACAAGACGATGATTTCTCTTATAGACATTAAGTTATCGACGTGGCCAACAACTATATTTAAGTTAGACTTAAGTTCACATTAAGTTAATAAAACAAATTGTAAATAAAAAGCATTCTAAGTTGAAATAAATGAAAACGTTCATTTAATTAAAATTTTCGTTTTATTTTTTACTAACTAATAAGTAAGTAGCTTTAACACGATTTCATCCTCTGCTCGACTCCTATTGAGCGTAGCGTGATGTTTTACCTAGTAGCATCTGCCCGCGGCTTCGATCACGGTCCCGTGGGATAAGATTCAAATTCAAATTCATTTATTTGCAAGAATACATATTTACAAAGGAAGATCTTACAGCCTCAAAGTCATTGTATTCTGCCTGCGAGCAAGCGTGCAAAGTATAAATATTTCAAATTAAAGTCACCATAATAATTTTCATAATTACAATACAATATTTACGTTGATGTCATAGTCGTAGACATATTACATTTTAGTCGCAGATACATTACAGTCATACATTACAAGATAGTCGATTACAAGAAAAAGCAAATATAAGGTCGAATTGAAAACCTCCTCCTTTTTTGAAGTCGGTTAAAAATGATTATTATCTACGGTGTACATTATAAGATGTAGCCTATGTGTTCTTCCAGACTATAATTTATCCCTATAATAACTGTCGTGAGACATACTAAATTAACTAAAAATCGCGGGTCACCCACGTGAAAGTATTGAGAGAAGCAACCAGTGGTCGCGGCGACTGCGCCTGCTGCTCACGGCGAAGAACACTTCTGTGGCTCGAAACTAGTAGAGCTTTTTTCCAGTATTTTTACGAATTCAAATTCAAATTCAATTTCATTTATTGTTTGTTACACGTTGACAATAGATGTTATATATATAATAATAGTAGCATAGTAACATACCTATAAGGTGTACAATAGTTTATGTTATTTGGATTATTCTACTTGTCTCAAAATATTACAAAATTTTTTTGTTGCATCAGTTAAATCATTATAAAAAAATATGTCAAGTCATTACCTTACATTATAGAATACTAGCGACCCGCCCCGGCTTCGCACGGGTGCAATATGCATGTATTATACATATAAACCTTCCTTAAGAATCACTCTATCTATTAAAAAAAACCGCATCAAAATCCGTTGCGTAGTTTTAAAGATCTAAGCATACATACGGACATACAGCGAAAGCGACTTTGTTTTATACTATGTATTGATAACTGAATTATTACATTAATTTATTAAACCTTGGTCAAATTATTATATTAAATTTATGAAACATTTAGTCAACTTTAATTTGATAGACAATATTAATCGGGTAATTAGTCAGTGGTCAAGTTGTACAACATTGGTCCAAATATTAACATTGGTCAAATGCCTAATGATTCAGTCATTAACTCGTCGCGTACCGGTTTTATAGACACAATTATAGAACAATAGGTTGCGGTCACCGGTGACCGCTTGGTGTTTGACAGTTTAAATAAAGAAATTAAAAATTAAAATTCATGAATATAAGTCAAAATTATACATATACGTGAGTGACCCGCGATTTATATGTACCTAGTTCATCATTTATCCCTGTTCCAACTTTCATACCGCTGAGTAGGGTGTTTTACCGCATGTGACTGAGTTACAAACAGACACACAAATACACAAACTTTCACATTTATAATATTAGTAAGATAAGATAACCTTCTTCGATAGATGGACTATTTAACACAAAAAGATTTTGTCATTTTTCAAATCGGACCAGTTGTTTCCGATATCATTATAAATTAGATACATTATATATGATATAAACAAAATGCAATATAAATATACCTATCAATATTGGCAGGTAGCATACATTAATAATCCTTCGTTGACTTAGATATATTCGAATTTAAAAGTTTTAACTCAAAAAACACTCGTCAACAAACAGTAATCAAAATCTCGTCACGGCACATCTTATCTCACCATCCATTACAAACTCGATCTATCGAAGCAATAAACTGAAATGAATTCAACTCCCAACCCTATATCATTGGACAAAAACTAATTATTGTTATCAGCCAAACAAATACTTCTTCACGCCCGACTGGAGTCACTAACTAAGCCAAATTTTAGTGCTGAAACAAAATTACACAGGTTAAAAGCAAAATGAAGTAAAATGTTGGTGCTCTTCCTAATATTATTCACTTCTGTAGTCGCCGAGAGTAATGAGGATAAATACCTCGACCTCTTACCAGAAAATGAGAAACTACAATTCATACAACAAGTAGCTAGACGTATACTAAAAGACGTACAAAGTCAGGAAAATAAAACCGAAGCGACAAGCAAAGAAATCGACGATGAACTGCTTAAAAAACACAATGAATACGTCAAGGCTATTTTAAAAGAAGAATCAGAATACATAAGAAGAAGGAAGAATGAGAAAGATAAAATGGATAAACCTGCTTCTGGGGAGGTTGACAAAACTTTTGATAGTGAGAAGAAAACTGTGCCTGATGATGAAGATGCAGGACAAGTTGATCTGACTTTGCGTAATGATAGGAGAGGTAACGCAAATCCTTCAGAAGATTATATCAAAGTTGAGATCATTACTGATGAACCGCCCATTAAAAAGAGGTCAATCCAAGATGATGGTCTTATTAAAAGTGACAAGAGTGATGAGACCACAGTGGAGGTTTTGGACAGAATAAAATCTGATAGCAAAACTGAAAATTTTAACTATAGTACTGTTAAAGCACCAACGCGATCTACGACTGCAGAAACTATTTTAAATTCTACAACATTGACACCAGAAACCTCTACAGACAAAACAAGTTTGGATGAAGAGGAATCTACGACTTTAACAAATGTAATAGATGCAGAATTAGCAAAAGACAAAAGTTCTGGAGAAACAGATGCAGAAGGAGCTGTAAGTGACATGGAGGAAAAATGGACAAGGAGATCAAATAACGAAAATAATGTAACAGAAATTAACAACACAACAGCCACTACTTCAGCTGTAGAACTATTTGGTCTCAAATCGGCAGAAAAGAACTTAGACGAATCAAATAGTGAAGAAACTACAACTAATCAAACTAAAACTACTACAGAAAAAAATGACGTAGAAAGTGCTAACAATATTTCAACTACAGTCCAAGATAGTGATGACCCGAATGCACCTAAAATGAGAGCTAGTAATGACACAGACACTAGAAATGAAGTTACAACAACAGACAGTACTACAACAATAACATCTTCCGATGAAAGAACAACAAAACCAGTCCCTATAACGACCGAAATAGACAAAGCCAAAACAAGCGATTCACTAACAACGGAATCGTCCAAAAAAACTACAGTAACGAAAATCTTAGTAGAAGAATTCACTTCACCACCAGTTAATAAAACAGAAAAGGTTTATAAGAAAGACGTTAGAGGAAATGATAATAAAAAGGTGATTCAGCAAAGAGCTTTAGATCATGCTAGAGAATTTTCTCCTCAAGTGCTGGAAGGCGGCAAATATACTGAGACGGGAACACCAAAAAATACTAAAATCAAATTGCATAAGCTTGATAAGGTTTTCCTGGGACCTAAAGGACAGAAGGAAGAAATAACAAAGAAGCCGAATACAAATAAGAACTTTATAGAACTAGAGAAAGTATATTATGATAATAATTATAAAGTTGAAAAGGGGAATACGTACCAGGTTTATGAGATTAGTAAGTACATTTTTTAAATATAACTAATTTGCGCTTTTTTGAGAGGGAAAGATCATCCATTCTAAGTGTGGGAGAGCCATGCTTCGGCACGAATGGGCCGGCTCGACCGGAGTGATAACACGGCCTCACAGAAAACCGACGTGAAGCAACGCTTGCATTGTGTTTCGTCGCGTGAGTGAGGTTACCGGAGGCCCAATTTCCCTCCCCTTCCCCAATCTCCCCAATCCCTGAATCCCCAACAATCCTCAAACTCCTAATCCACAAATAGCCGGTAACGCACTTGTAACGCCTCTGGTGTTCCAGGTGTCCATGGGCGACGCCGATTGCTTTCCATCAGGTGATCCGTCTGCTCGTTTACCGGCTTATGCCATAAAAAAAAAAAAAAATCCAATGACTTCCCGGGTAAGGCGAGAAGGAGTGTCAGACTCTTCCTGACTAAAAACCACGCCCTTCCTATTCCTGCACTCCGAGCCGGAGCCCCGGTAACCCGGTAATCCTTTGCGGCTCTGTATCGGCATCAGCCGGCAGCTCTAACTAATACACGCTAGGATTCTCTCTTGTGTCTGTTTACAGACGTGTAATTTCGCTTGGAGTTTTATTTAAGCAGTCTGATTATTTCTAAATCCTGCGGCTACCATCTTCATAATTCACACATTGCATTTAGATCTGGAACAAAAAAATTATGGATGGTACAAATACCCATAACTATTAGCTGATGCATCAATCTTGCAGTCTGATTTTTATATTAACAAAGCTTGCGATTCTCTTGGTGTTAAAAGGTCATTAGCGTAGTTGATAAAGATCATGTAGGATACTGATTATTACGCTATTATTGTCGGTGAGAAGCGAACCTTCAGGGAAAGACCGTACTTCGTTTTAAAAGGCCGGCAACGTACTTGTGGCTCCTATGGTGTTGCGGGTGTCCATGGGCGGCGCTGATCGCTTACCATCAGGTGATCAATCTGCTCGTTTGCCTTCTATTCCATAAAAAACAGAAATTGTTGTTTAAGTAAAAACGCGGGTTACTCACGTAAACACACTGAGAAAATCTCTACTAGTTTCGAACTACAGAGGGGTTCTTCCTCATGAGCAGCGTGCGCGGTCACGGCGATGTCGCGCAGCTCACATGTCACAGTGTGTTCACGTGAGTAAGCCTCGTTTTTACTTAATTTAGTATGTCTCACGATAGTTATTATAAAAAAAATTGTTTCTTTCTAACCTATGTATATACACAATAATCCACGTAGTTTGGCTTTGGATAACTCTGTATGTTAGAATAGTATAATAATGTATTATTTAGTGGCACAAAATTAAGTTTTTCACATTACGCTGTTTGATATTGCTTTCTTGGTTAGATACATTCGTTGATTGATTTTGTGCTGTCGTATGTGTCGTAAAGAATGTACATACATGATCAATCTCACGTCTGTCTCCCATGGAGGTAAGCAGAAACTACCGATCGCCAATTGCTACAAGTCAAGTAAAATAAAAGCTCTCATCATCAACAGCCTATAAATGCTCACTGCTGAGCAAAGCCTCTTCTCACACAGACAAGGTTTGAGCATTGATCACCACGCTTGTTCAATGTGGGTTGGCGATCACAAACTTATAATTAGAAATTATAAGCCCAGGTTTCCTCACGATGGTTTCTTTCACCGTTTGTGTGAAATATTATTATATTTATATTATATTTGGTGTCTGAATAATCTTAGAAAGTACATAGAACTCGGAAAAAGTCACATTGGTACTTGCCGTTTGTAGGTTTCGAACCAACACCCATGAGAAGCGGGCATCTTAAGCCTCCGGGCCACCAAGACCATAAATAAAAGCACTAAAGTATAATTTATATTACAGGTGCCGACAAAACGCCATTTATTAGAGACGAATTGTCCATGGTAGAGCAACCATATTACGTTCCCATATACAACTATTCGCCAAATAATGCCTACTTTAACCCACAAAACCGTCTGGGCCCAAATCCAGGAGATGCCAGCGTAGAAAAACGAGATATTGAAGCCGATGACGAAGCTGAAAACGTACCACAATTAAGATCCAAACCAGAAAAATCTGACGAATCTGATGAAAGTATTGATAAAGAAAACACAAGTAATCACAAACAGCCTGTTGATATGGAATATAACGAATCAGATTTCGATGATCAAAGAAAGAAATTTGGCAGTAAACAGAGAGATATACACAGCATTCACAAACAGCCGATATTAAATTACAATAGTAAAAAACCTGGTCAATATAACCCTGAGGATTATGCAGATGTCGATTATTATTTTGGTAGACTAAGAAATAATAAAAGAAGGGTTTATAAAAATGGGGGCAACTCCTTCCCGAATTCGAATGAAAATGACCATCCAGCTCACAGCATTCAAGAAGGCAATCTCAAAGATCACGTTAGAGCAGTCAGAAATATACTGTTCCATAAAAAATCTTTTGGACTCCTCGACAAAGACAAATATGGCCACGAAGGGTATGGAGAACGTTCCAGTATCTATAAAAGAGGATTGCGACAGCTCGATGTAGGTAAATATAAGAAAAAACCTCAGGCATTAAGGGATGGTGTTCCTGTGTCTGACAACCCTGGTCAAAATGATCGTATCAAAAATAACAAACAGCAAACGCAGCACATACCTAAAAAACAAAAGCAACATAAAGGCGAGGAAGAACAAACTATATTGGGAACTGAAGATAAAAACAATGACATTGTAATAAATGATGAACATATTAAAAAGGTAGGATATTTAAAGAGTAATAACGGTACGCAAGAACTATACGTAATGGACAATTATTTCAAGGAGAATGTTCAGAAGTATATTGAGAATCAAAAACACAATTACGACGATCAACTGAAACCAGCTACTCCACTACCTCCTTTGCCCCCTCCGCAACTACCTGAGAGTGAATATGCACACTTCTCTAATCCATTCCGAAATACACAAAATTATACTAAAATACAGAGTTTCGCAGAACACAATTTTGGAGATACACATACTTTTGCGAATACACAAAATAGTTTCGGTAATGTACACAGTTTCTCTGCACACAATACCGCTGACACACAACAGCTTTTGAATGGAGGAGAAACATCAATTTGGAATGGACATGAGAAAGGGAAACATACTGTAATCACCAAACATGGAGAAGATATTGCAGTAGAGACCCAAGAACCTTTACCTGAAATTGTGATCCCTGAAGATATTAAACCTCAAGGTAACATAGATTCACTAGATAATCAACAAGAAATCAAATCAGCATTGCTCAAAGAATTGCCTGAAGGTGATAACTTAAGAGAGAACTTAAATATAAACTTAAATAATAGAAGAAAAGATGGAGTAAAGTTAGGTGTTTATCTACATGTGCTGAAGGATATGGTCAATACGGACAATAATGCCTTAAAACAATATGACTGGTTAGGTTCCACTGTTGATATACAATCGGCGTTGCGGAAAATATTTGAGTTAACGTAAGTAATTCTATGTGATACTATTCATCCTCCCACAGATGTCGTAAGACAATGACCGGGCAACAATATTCTCTGAAAAACCTGAACAATTAAACTTCTGTCTCTATCCCGCCTGCTAAGCGTCGAGATTGTTTTAATATAATATAGGTAATGGCGTCTGGCTACCATATCGCCTGATGGTAAGCGATGATATGGCCAACGATGCAAATGCCTACCTATGAGTAACCTCAGGAAATACAGACTCTGGCAAGGAATTCCACGCCTTACCGGTTCGAACAAGGAAACTTGAAACGAAATACTTCGTGCGAATGAGTGGAATGATTATGAGATTAGGTCATGTAGAGGAGACTCATAGTCTAGCTGTGGACTGTATTAATGAGAGTGATGACAAAGATTAAAGTTTTATTTATAAAGTTACAAGTCCAGTATAATTCCATAAATAACATTGCAATAGAGTATTTTCCAGGGAATGAAAATTAAAAATCTAATTAGTCCGTCAGTTAGATAATGAAAAAATATTAGACACGTATTTTGTTATTTTCTCGTATAAAGTTACAATACTTAGATAAAACGGAGTTAAGTTTAGGAGTGGGAGGTCGTTACGTCACTAAGTGCTACTAAATGTAGCGCATTGTGACGTCACACGATATTTCAGATTAATATATCGTCGAAAGTATTTAATTTTGTGAGAAAAGAAAAAATACGTGTCTAATTTTTTTAATTAATCTAAAATAAAATTTAGGCAACTACCCTATTGACCTTACCTCAAATAATTTAAAACAATACTTTAAATTTTTCAGCGGGTTAGTAGCAGCTAGACGCAAAGTCCACCCAGCAGACTTGGAAATCCTAAAATATGTTATATTCCTGCATAAACTAGCGACAGAAATAATTCAAGCAAACGATTTTGGAGCGGAGCTGGGGAAGAAGCTAGCATTAAATCAAAATAGTCAGAAAGTCCTTAAGGAAAAGGGTTTGATAAACAAAGTCTGGTTGCATTTACGGAAGAAGGTCCCTGATGTGTATGATATAGGAGCTATGAGGAAGCTGAACAAGTTCTTGATGAGCATTGAAGACGATTTGTATGAGGTACGGTATTTTTTGAAATGTAATGATATTAGATGTAACAGTTAAATTGAGAGATACCCAAAACTAAGAAGTATGGCAGGAAAAAGGGGAAGCTTGTATCCAGCCAGTGGCGTAACTAAAGGGGGGCAAGTCATTAAAATGCCACGGGCCTTCGACTGGAAGGGACTCCGTTCAGAGGTTATCATCTGAACTTCTCTTTTTTTATTGGGACCAGGGGACTTACTCTTGAGTCCAATTCCGATCGATCGACATTGGTATTGTGAAATTTTGTACTCTTGAATTGCAATACTATCGCCCATTGTATCTGTATCGCGTGGACATTGGACTAAATGGTATTGAGTTTAGGTTTATATTCCCTACTCTGAATGCTACTTTAACAGCTACGATAGGGGTTGTATAGTTTGACATTGAATAATTATTGAGATTTTATTGGATTGAAATTGCATTGACATTGAGATTGACTTCAAGAGTAAGCACCCTGGCCTATCCAACAAATTCGCCACGGGCCCCGAAAGGTACAGTTAATCCACTGAATCCTGCGATGGGTGAACTAGTTCAACCCATATGGGTTGATGATGATGATGTTATGATGAGTTCCATGTAACAGGAGACTAGTATATTGTTTAATCTTCCAATCAAGCAGACATTCTAGTGACTTTAAAGGCATAATATCATTCGGTCTACTACAAAAAACCCGAGAGACACGGAAACTAATTCATTTACTTCTCATCTTTTAATATCTTCTGATTTGCTACATAAAATACAAAACATAATAACATAACGTCACACCTTTTTATCTCCGCAGGGGTAGGCAGAGGTGCACATTACGGCACTTAATGTCACTATACAATGTAACACCCATTTTTCACTTTCTATGTTATGAGGCCTATGTAAAACGGAGTGAGCCTATTGCGGTATATCTGCTTTGACTAAAATACATAAAAGACAGTTGTTCATGTCCCTGGGAAGTTGAATTTTGAATTATCTCTATTAATTTACAGTCTTTTGGTCACACTAAGACCATGCCAGACCCATCATTCTCTGAACATATTTAACAAAACTTACATACTAATCTTATTTACTAATTTTCCATATTACAGTTACACGATGCAGTGAAAAACGTGGCTAAAATAACGAAATACAAGAACCAACATTGGTATGACAATCTGAAAGACCTTTATATAAACATAGAAGATAAAAATCTTATAGAATTACTTCTCCATATGAGTGTACTAAGACTATTTGTGCTGATAGAAGAAGCGACTAAATACGGCCTAGAAGATAACTATATACTGTACATGAAGAAGCATAAGAAAGAAGCAAAAAGAACTTTAGACGAAATGATATTTGTTATGCAAATTTTGGATGAATATAATAAATTACCACGATAACATAATGGCAGATGTTTCAATCCTCCAAGCAGGTTACCATGGCTGCTCGAAGCAGGGGTAGGAAGAGTCTGACACTCCCTCTCGCCTCACCTAAGGCGAGTCGTTCGATGATTTATTCCGATCAAAAACAAAATAACTGTTTTAATCTTCGGAGCTATATAAATAATTGTAACACCTATATGTTAGCAGTTATGTTATAAGTTCCTAGTAATATACAAGTGAGTTTATTACCATGCGAACCGCTAAGGAGTGGAATTCCTTGCCGGAGTCTGTTTTCCGTCAATATGACTTAGGTGTCTTCAAGTCCCGAGTGAACCCGAGATGGTGGCCAAACGTCTACCATCGTCGACGAAGTATAAAAAAACCATTTTCAAAATAAATTACAGATCCCTTACCAACAAAATATTTTGGAAAATAAAACCAACCAACTTCATAAACAAACTTTATTTTAAAAACAGTTCAATACAATGCTACTTATAATTACATTTATAACTAAACTAGAATCACATGTAGGTATTATTTTGGTATACAAATCTTGCATTTATTTATATAATAATTGAATTTATATATAAAAATAATTGAGTGACAGACTGTACACAGCTGTAACTACTGCGAGTGACAATGTGTGGGACATGTAGCGCGCTAGGGGGGTATAGGGGAGAACTGAATTATGAGATATCTTCATTAACTAAAAATCGCGGGTTACTCACGTGAATATACTGAGAAAAGCCTGCTCATGAGGAAGAACCCGTCTGTGGTTCGAAACTAGTAGAGCTTTTCTCAGTATATTCACGTGAGTAACCCGCGATTTTTAGTTGATTTAGTATGTCTCACGATAGTTATTAAAAAGAGAAATCTTTATTTTTAAATGAAATTTAAAATTAATATCTATTAATCCCCATTGAAAGTACTATATCTGTCAATCCTCTGGTTGTTCTATTTGCTCGTCCCAAAGTGTAGATTCCTATGGAGAAGAACGAGCAAGAATCATGGTTATTTTAACATCTTATTATGGCTCGGATTACGATTTTAAAGGGTATCAAGGATGTTGAAAAATGTGGACATATTAATGTCACTTAGAAACGATTGGAACACCAAAATGTCAGTAGGTTATATGTGTGCGTGTGTAATGGGCTACCCCGTTACCAGACTTCAGAAAACGACACATGTCCTTCGTGTCAATATGTTTATGTTCTGCGTGTAAGTCTTTACAAGTGTGGGAGAGCCATGCTCGGCACGAATGGGCCGGCTCGACCGGAGTGATAACACGGCCGAGCAGAAAACAGACGTGAAGCAACGCTTGCGTTGTGTTTCGTCGTGTGAGTGAGGGTACCGGAGGCCTAATTACCCTACCCTTTCCCAATCTCCCTAATCCCTGAATCCCCAACGATCCTCAAACTCCTAATCCCCAAAAGGCCGGTAACGCACTTGTAACGCCTCTGGTGTTCCAGTTGTCCATGGGCGACGCCGATTGCTTACCATCAGGTGATCCGTCTGCTCGTTTACCGACTTATGCAATAAAAAAAAGTCTACAGTATTGAGTGCCTTCAGCCAAACGCCACTTTAGCGCTTGTCTACAGAGAGAGTAGAAACCAAAATGTATGGGGATGACACTGACAAGTGTCAAAATTTATGTCAATTCCATATAATTTGGTTTTGTATTCTACATGTAGACAAGCGCTAAATGGCATTTGGCTAAAGCTGCTGGTGCCACAGTCGTTGTCTTTTTAACATCCTTGGTACAAATACTTGCTTTTGATATAAAGCGATATTTTCGCCAAAAAATATATGAATAAGGATATTTACTTATTTGTATTGCAAGCCTCTTTCTTACGTGCTATCTTTACATAGTCGTTCATTTAATAAATAAAATAAAAAGTTCCCTATTTTAGTCAAACATTGAATTGACTAAAAACTAAGAGTTACTCACATAACATAACATAACATAACATCACGCCTTTTATCCCCGAAGGGGTAGGCAGAGGTGCTTATTATGCCACTGTCCAATATAACACCCACTCTTCACTATTAATGTTATGAGTCCCATGTAATAGAGCACAATTGCAGACTCCGTGCTACTCCTGAGAATTAAAAAAATACCCAGTTATATTCTGCCCGACCGGGGAATCTAACCCGAGACCCCTTGTCCGGCAGTCGCCTTAGGATTTTCTCCTGTACCGTGAGTGCGTTTACAAACATACAAGTTCACATACACATGACACACAGACTCGGAACAACAATCTGAGGATCACACAAAGTGTTGTTCCGTGCGGGAATCAAACTCGCGACACGTGGCACGGCAGCCGGTTGGTCAGCCACCGCACCAAGCGTGCAGTCAAACTTGCGACCAGTCAGCCAACGAGGCAGTCATATAGATGATAAATAGAGCGAAGATACTTCTGTTTGGTCAGTCGATTACCGATCGGCACGCACAGCGGAAGTCACTCTAGCGACCAATAAGGTAGTTTCTTATTAATAACTAGCGACCCGCCCCGGCTTCGCACGGGTGCAATATTCATGTATTATACATACAAACTTTCCTTAAGAATCACTCTATCTATTTAAAAAAACCGCATCAAAATCCGTTGCGTAGTTTTAAAGATCTAAGCATACATACGGACATACAGCGAAAGCGACTTTGTTTTATACTATGTATTGATTGATTAATAAAGACTGTAGTGACTTAACTAAACAATCATATATTATGTATTTAATTTCTATTTTACAAACATAAAATTATAGTAGATATAACATAACATAACATCACGCCTTTTACCCCCGAAGGGGTAGGCAGAGGTGCACATTACGGCACTTAATGCCACTGTATAATGTAACACCTACTTTTCACTATTTATGTTATGAGTCCAATGTAATAAATGTGAGCCTATTGCCATATACCGGACACAATTCCAGACTCCGTGCTACTACTGAGAATTATTTATAAACTCAGTAATACTTTGCCCGACCCAGGAATCGAACACGAGACACTCGGTCAACAAGGCAGTATAGTAGATATGTACAAAATACTTGATATTATCACGGCTTGTACTTACTGAATGGGTTAGGCAGAGAGTATATAATATTTACATCTGGTGACACATTACACCAATGACAGATGACAGAAGTCGCAAGATGACAGATGACGTCACAAATCCTACATCGCACATATGACGTTTACACGCAAATAAAAATGGATAGAAAATCCCAACGAACTACAATAGCTGTAGCCAAATGCCATTTAGCGCTTGTCTACATGTAGAATAGAAAACCAAATTATATGAAATTGACGTAAATTTTGACACTTGTCAGTGTCATCCCCATACATTTTGATTTCTATTCTCTCTGTAGACAAGCGCTAAGGTGGCATTTGGCTAAAGGCACTCGATAGTTTCCTAAATTTTATTCTAATGTCCGTCTGGTACATTAATTTAAAACTTTAGATACGTATTTTTTCTTTTCCCACAACATTAAATACTTTCGACGATATATTTATTTGAAATGTCGTGTGACGTCACAGCGTGCCACATTTTGTAGCACGTTATGACGTAACGACCTTTCTACTCCTAAACTTAACTCCTATTTATCTAAGTATTTTAACTTTATACGAGAAAATAAAAAAATACGTGTCTAATATTTTTTTCATATCTAACTGATGGACTAATTAGATTTTTAATTTTCATACTCTGGCTACTTCCCTAACAAAGCCCGCCAAACACGATCATAGCCTCTGATCCCCTTAAAAATGAGCTCTTCTGCCTACCTCTTCAGAGAATAAAAGGCGAGATGTTCCGTTATGATATAATATCTAATGGAATGTTATATGGGAATAAATTAGTACCATTAAACTTTGGAATGTACGATCAACTGCCACAAGGCTCGTAAACAAAACTAAGATGCGAAAAATGTGCGAGCTCCCTCTACGCATCGCAAGAACTTGCGAATTGATTCACATCGCGCATCAAAATCTTATCTTCCCAAAATCTCCTTTATTTCTTTTTCCTGTATCTCCTAAGCAATAACAGAAGCAAGAACACTTCTTTTTACGATCCATGTCACGACCTAGTTTTCAATTTAAAATACGTTTAGTACGGTTGACGGTCGACGAAGGAATGGTCACCCTGGGAGACGCCTTGTCGCACGAAATCGCATCGCAGCAATTCGCATCGCATCACAGTTTTGAGTACGAACTCTTAGTTATAGCTACTTCATCAACATGATAAAAAAATATATATGAAACTATCTAGTTTACTTTTCAGATACACTTTATAGCAAAGACACGGGGCCACTAGCGTCTTTTTCATTATCTTGATATTTTTTAAAGTTAATGTAGGGTACATTAACTTTAAAAAAATATTCCTTTTACAACAAAATGTCAAAGTCAAAAGTCAAAAGGCAAAGTCAAAGTCAAAAGGCAAAGTCAAAGTATGTATTTCATAATTTGTATACATTAAAAAATAGTTACTATTGAAACGTGAACAAATACAAAAAAAATTGTATTTTTTGTACTCTATAACTTTAAAAAAATCTTTTTTTACAAAAACCAAATTACCTTTTATACGATATACGGTACCAATCAATAAAATACTTGTATCAGTAAATATTTATCAAGAAATGAAAAAGATAAAAACGCTAGAGGCTCCGTGTAGTAGTTATGAACTACTTACTTAAGTTACAGTCAAGTTTCGCTTTAAAATAGCACCATATAGGTATACTACATTGCCATATCAGTTTTTTTTACATAAATCTATATTTACATTGAATGAACTGGACAAATCATTTAAATTGTATAATTGAGTAGTTTCCAGGGTATCAAAATTAAAAATCTAATTAGTCCGTCAGTTAGATAATGAAAAAATATTAGACACGTATTTTTTATTTTCTCGTATTAAGTTGCAATACTTAGATAAAATGGCGATAAGTTTAGGAGAGGGAGGTCGTTACGTCATAACGTGCTACAAAATGTCACACGCTGTGACGTCACACGATATTTCAATCAATATATCGTCGAAAGAATTTAATTTTGTGAGAAAAGAAAAAATACGTGTCTAAAGTTTTAAATTAATGTACCAGACGGACATTAGAATAAAATTTAGGAAACTATCCTATTCGTGCTTTCTATCGAAGACTTTGAATCTGACTCAGAGTCAACGGGACCCCACTTTTGAGCTTTTCTCAGTATATTCCCGTGAGTAACCCGCGATTTTTGGTTAATTTAGTATGTCTCACGATAGTTATTATCAAATAAGGTACCTATATTGAACAACACAAAGCCTAAGATAGGAAATTTAGCCATTCTTCTGTTAGGCATATTCACAGATTGCTGTTCCGGGTCTGTGTGTCATGTGTATGTGAACTTGTATGTTTGTAAACGCACTCACGACACAGGAGCATATCCTAGTATCCTTACCTACTTATATTATAAATCGGAAAGTGAGTTTGTTTGTTTGTTAATAGTTTGTTCCACTTTAACGCCGTAACTACTAAACCGATTGCTTTTAATGTTTGCAGACGTAAAGTTAGAAGTCCGGATTAAATAATAGGGTACCTACTTTTTATCCCTGAAAAATTTGATATTCCCGAGGGAAAACAAAATTATTGGTATAGATGGCGCTGTGTGTATTGGTATATGACACATTGGCTTTTTATCCTTTTGTGACGCGAGCGAAGCCGCGGGTAAAAGCTAGTAAAAAATAACACATCAATTATTCTATATGGCTTGCCCAGTTCATTCAACTACAGATGTATATATAAATAGTTATCAGTTACTACGCCTCCGTCTCCAAGTCTGCCTCTATTTCCTCTGGAGTGCGCAGGTCTATTGCAAACCTCTTCTTCGTGGGAGCTGGCTCCTCATATTCTGGAAGAACAACACGGTTTTTGTTATAAAGAAAAATGTAAAACATTATCTAGAGATTACTCAACTAGAGGCTACAGGGTAGTTTCCAGGGTATCAAAATTAAAAATCTAATTAGTCCGTCAGTTAGATAATGAAAAAATATTAGACACGTATTTTTTTATTATCTCGCATTAACTTACAATACTTAGATAAAATGGCGCTAAGTTTAGGAGTGGGAGGTGGTTACGCGATAACGTGCTACAAAATGTGACACGCTGTGACGTCACACGATATTTCAAATTAATATATCGTCGAAAGTATTTAGTTTTGTAAGAAAAGAAAAAATACGTGTCTAAAGTTTTAAATTAATGTACCAGACGGACATTAGAATAAAATTTAGGAAACTGGTTATTGTGGGAGAGCCATGCTTCAGCACGAATGGGCCGGCTCGACTGGAGTGATACCACGGCCGAGCAAAAAACTATAGTGAAACAAAGCTTGCAGTGAAATTACCGGAGGTCCAATTACCCCCCAATTAATTAGCCATATAAATAGCATTGAATAGCCTTTCGATATTCGGGCATAAGTAGCATTTTGTCTTTTTTGTTATTTGCAAAGAAATCAAGACAATCAAAGATGTAACGGCTTATTATATCAGAGAGTGAATCATATGTATACCATAGATGGTCAATGGCGACCATAGACAATACTAATATTCTCGTCTTAATACTGATAGTGGGACGCCACAATAGTATTATAAACATACACAACGTCACACCTTTTGATACCCGAAAGGGTGGGCAGAAGCGATGTAGCGGCCACATTTAGCATAATATTTTGTTTTCTAATACGGAGAGATACTTGCAAATTTGAGCTAAAAATTTTTCATTTTCAACGAAAGCTATCATTACCGAAGGATTTCGCTCACAAATCTCGGCACACCCATGAAGTTTTATACTTCACTAGCAGCCCGTCCCGGCTTCGCACGGGGTAGACAATTATTTATTTTTGGAAATTTGGATTGTTGTAGTGACATAACTACAATAGTTGGACATATGCTACCGCGGAGTTTTTTGTAGACATTATGATGTTCTTCAATATTGTGGTACATTATTTTGTTCTATCGCTAATAGTTTCGGCAGCGCATTCGACGAAAGACATTTTAAGACTAATTTTTCTACACCTTCGGTTACATTGTTCAAATTTTACCAAGGATCCCATATTTTTTTCAAAATGAAATGTAGCCTATGTGTAATTGGAAGAATGTAGCATTCTATTGGTGAAAGATTTTTTTAAATCGGCCCAGTACTTTTTGAGCCTATTCATTACAAACATACAAACATACAAAAATAGGTACAAATCTTTCCTCTTTATAATATTAGTATACATCTAAAACTGAGCCACTTCTAAAGAAGATTTAACATCACAACAATTAATATAAAGAGTAAACACGCAAAACGGCAGAACAGGAGAACAGACCTAATATCGGAACAATCAATATTTGAAACTCAAAGTCAAAGTCAAAATCATTTATTTCAATTAGACCAGGAAGCCACTTTTGAACCTCAAAACAAAATATTTAAATATTAAATAATAAGAAAAAATGTCATTCTGTAGGTCAGTCCTCTAGTGAAGCTATTTGCTCGTTCCAAAGTGTAGATTCCTATGGAGAAGAACGAGCAAGAAACTCCATAGGTTACTCTTTTTCAATCATGTTCACAATACAATTTTTGGTTACATTCTTCCGTTGAGTTCAATAATGTGAGAACAATGTAATACCAATATTTGGTCAAGGAGACGGACAAAGAAAATAATTTTGAGGACAACAAATTTAATACAGAAAGAAGTAAAGATCCAAAACTGGAGATCAGAAGGGAATAACATATGGACAGAAGAAGACACACATCTTCAGAAGACCACAACCAATCCAATAATTTGGAAAGATATTGAGAATATTCCAGAAATGGAGATGAGTTACCCAGTCATCCTCCTTTGCAAGATTCGAATTGGAGACAGCCAGCCGTCATCTGAAATACACCGGGATAGAGTTTACTAGACGAAAGAATCCTTACTAGTCCTTACTATCCTTACTAGTCCTTACTATCCTTATCCTTACTAATTCTTATCCTTATCCTTATCCTTACTATCCTTATCCTTACTAATCCTTATCCTTATCCTTATCCTTATATCCTTATATCCTTATATCCTTATATATCCTTATCCTTATCCTTATATCCTTTCCTTATATATTATATTATATATATATATAAATCGGAAAGTGAGTTTGTTTGTTTGTTTGTTCCGCTTTCACGCCGTAACTACTAAACCGATTGCTTTGAATTTTTGCAGACGCAAAGTTAGAAGTCCGGATTAAATAATAGGGTACTTTTTATCCCGGAAAAATTGGATATTCCCGAGGGAAAACAAAAGCATTGGTATAGATGGTGTTGTGTTTATTGGTATATGACACATAGGCTACTTTTTATCCTTTTGTGACGCGAGCGAAGCCGCGGGTAAAAGCTAGTACGTATACATACATACATATATAAATGCCTGGCTTTCTCCTAAGTACATTTCCTAAGATAAGTGTAAGTTAAGCAAAAAATTGCATAATTTATACTCTGTTTGTTTGTTTAAATGCACGTATCTCCGCAACTTGGATCTCCGTATTAGGGCCTCCGGTAACCTCACTTACGTGGCATCACGCTTGGTGCGGTGGCTGGGCAACCGACTGCCGTGCAACGTGTCGTGGGTTCGATTCCCGCACGGAACAACTCTTTGTGTGATCCACAAAATGTTGTTCCGGGTCTGGGTGTCATGTGTATGTGAACTTGTATGTTTGTAAACGCACTCACGACACAGGAGACAATCTTAATGTGGGGCAATGTTTTAAAAAAATACTTAATATTACAAATAGGCACTCCAATTTTATTTTTCTATGCAGAACATAACATATCATCACGCCTTTCTTCTCCGAAGGGGTAAGCAGAGGTGCACATTACGGCACTTAATGCCACTGTACAATGTAACACCCACTTTTCACTATTTATTTTACGAGTCGCATGTAATAGAGGGTGAGCCTATTGCCAAATACCGGGCACTATTCCAGACTCCGTACTACTACTGGGATTTTTAAAACCCAGTAATAATTTTACGCTTTATTAAAAAAATAAAAAATAAAAAAGTCATTCATGTCGAGCCGGCCCATTCATGCCGAAGCATGGCTCTCCCACAATTATATGATGATGGATATTAATGGCAGAAGAAACTTACCAGAGTTTGCCTGCAGCGCCTTGACTCTTCTAGAATAATCTTGGAAAGCCGCTGCTAGCGCGTAAGTCAAACGTCTTGCTGCGTTTCTGAAATTATTGTACAAAACATATATTAACTTCTATATAACATAACATCACGCCTTTTATCCCTGAAGGGGTAGACAAAGGTGCACACTTTATGCCACTATACAATGTAACACCCACTTTTCCACTTTTGGGGTCCAATAGGGCTGATGCCGATACGGAGCCGCGGAGTACTTAACGGTTTACCGGGGCTCCGGCTCGAAGTGCAGGAGAAGGAACGGGGTGGTTTTTAGTCAGTAAGAGTCTGACACTCCCTCGCTTCAAACAAGGTGGGAGAAGACATTAAACCATTTTCCCCTTTTAATAAAAAAGTCTACATCTCCATACGAACTTGTAACTCTGCCTCGTTGGCCGAGTGATATGTGAATGCCGGGCAAGGGGTCTTGGGTTCGATTCCCGGATCGGGCAAAGTATTACTAGGTCATTATAGACACAATTATAGAACAATAGGTTGCGGTCACCGGTGTCCGCTTGGTGTTTGACAGTTTAATCCATGAGACTCATAACATAAATAGTGAAAAGTGGGTGTTACATTGTACAGTGGCATAATGTACACCTCTGCCTAACTCTTCGGGTATAAAAGGCGTGATGTTATGATGTTATGAATTTATATTATCAGTAAGAAATGATTGATAGACATCAGAACTCATCTTATCTGAACATATAGTTTGACCTGATTCACAAGCGATAGTGCAAGAATGTAAACTATGTGATCTTTCGAATCGATACCATGACGAAATACATTCGAAGATATTACCTTGATAGAACATTATAGCTCTTACAAGATTTTTGCGTAATCTTATGACATTTTTAACGTCTGAGAATTTTAGTCTTGACTCAATATAGTCAATCTAATAATGGTTTAAGATATATATATACTCAAGATATATACCTCTATATAAAGATAGAAGTTTGGATTGAATAAAAGGGTACTTTTTATCCCGGATAAATTTGATATTCTCGAGGGAAAACAAAACTATTGGTATAGATGGCGCTGTATGTATTGGTATATGTCACATAGGCTACTTTTTATCCTTTTGTGACGCGAGCGAAGCCGCGGGTAAAAGCTTGTAAAACATAAACAAAAGAAAAAGAATAGTAAACCTTAATTAAATTAAAACAAGAGTTAACACCATTCATAAGTTTCTCTCGCAGTACTTCAAGCATTCTGATAAAATCACCTTCCATCCATCCGCAAACAGATCACTAGTTGGATTGGAATCCACGAGACCATTGAGCGCGGCCAGAGTGCGAGGAACAGGTGATTTGGTGGAGGTACGACATGAGGGCATGGCAAACAGCCTGTGCTTTTTACCCCGGCAGTAATTATCTAGGACGTAAAAGCGCGATAATGACTCCAGTAGATCTGGAGCACACATCTGATAACATTTGGAACAGGGGGAACAATTTCTTACTATCCCATATTTACGAGGGTGAAGAAGCTAGACGGTAGAAGGTAAGCTTTAACAAAATAATCTTCAAAAAACCATCTTACCTGGACTCACAAACAAAGCCATGACATTCAAAGGGATTGAGACCCTTAACATCAGCAGTGTCTTTGACGATGATCATGGAGAACACCCTTGTGTAGACCAGGTCCTGTACTCCATAGGATATGGACTCGATGTTGAAGAAGACCGACATTTGGTCAAACTCGTCAGTTTTTGTTCCGTGGGATACTGGTTCCAGGTGGACTCCGTCTAGTGCTATCATAAGTTTCACTATGGGCAGGGCTTGACCTGAAATGAGATTAGTAAAAGACTATAATAATGTTGTTACACCTAAGTAGACTAGCGTTAGATGGTTGGGTCAAGGGCCTGATGCAGAAAGCAGTACTTTTGAACACAGTGCACAACAACGCGTCCGGAGATTCCTCTCTCTCGAGCCCTGACCACCAGTATCTTGCATTTCTCCCGTTACTGGTGGGCTATTGATTTTTATATTTTTAAATGTTTTTTTTAATCAAATATTTAGAAATGTATAAAACAAGTTTAAAAATAAAGGAGATAATAATGTTGTTTCATCGTTAAATAATAGGTACGTTTAGTTTTGACAGAGTGAGCCATGCTTAGGCACGAATGGGCCGGCTTGACCGGAGTGATACCACGGCTTTACAGTACACTGACTTGAAGCAACGTTGCGTTGTGTTTTGCCGTATGAGTGAGGTTTTCGGAGGCCCAATTATCCCCATACCCAATCCCCGAATCCCTAACAATCCTCAAAAGACCGGCAACGCACTTGTAATACCTGTGATGTCTATGGGAGGCACCGATTGCTTACTATCAGGGGATCCGCCTTTTTATATTTGATAGGCCGACGTTTGACCACTATCTGCCTGGCGGTAAGCGATGTCGTCCCATAAGCAACCTATTTACTCGGGCCTCGAAGACACCCCATTCGTCAAGCAAGCAAACGACACTGAATGGTAAACGATCACTGAATGGTGACCCTTTTAAGAGGCCATTAGGCTGATCCTTAGTATCCTTTGTCTGATCATAAATGTTTTTCAAATCATAATACGCGTTATATTGCGAACTGCCTTCAGAGCGGGTCCGCTCAAACTGTTGTGGTTCTTTCCTCAAAAGGCCACTACAGAAAGAACTTGCACGGTTCTCACGCATAATGTTTTATACATATTTGTCTGGACTTTAAAAGAGACAGACCTCTGAGTTTGGTTCGGCATTTCTTCTCAGAGTAGTCAGTTAGGAAATGTCGGCCTCATCGTTCGCTTGATAAAATTGACGGGTAAAAGTGCTGCCTTGTAGCCTATTTGCAGAAATAAATTCACTTGTTTCACTTATTACCTGGAGGTAATGCCTTAGCTGCAGATACCATGAGGTCGACAGGTTTTCTCGTGTGCTTGATGCCCCATAGTCCACGTGCGTCACTCTGGCCTAAGTATTTCACCTGGAAATTATTAATATAACAATTAACCCTTACACGCATATAAGGTATAGAAAAAACAAACAAATCTGTATATTAGTTTTAATAGTTTATTAGGGTCTCTTTAAACGTATAATAGTCAAATAATAAAATATTTATTATTTTTTCAGTGTTTTTCAGCACGGGACATATGTGTCCCAGTATGCGTCAAAGGTTGTCTTATTATCTATATGTTCTAGTTTGAAACAATTATCTGAGATCAATTTTACGTGTAATTTTGTAATAAAATTAAGGAAAATATTACATTTACAATAAGAAATGAATAACTATATAAAATGGTTATTAAAAATTTAATGAAAACTTAGTGATATTCTTCAAAACAATTTCTATCTGACGTAAAACATAGGTGAACGTTACACGTTGAGCAGGTGTTGTTTGTTCGATTCTCAACACGAGATTTGGCACATTGTACACATCTTTTTCTTGTATTAGCCTTCATCATAATATGCGAAGGTGTCCCCCGATTTTGCACATAACCAAGTCGCTTTTTTGTCATTACTGCCGATGGAAGAGCTCTTTGGCGAGAAGAGAAGTTTGCAATGAGCGAACGAGCTACTACTTGACGAAATTCAAGGCTAGAAAGTGAACTTCCTTCAATTTGCTTGTTCTCATGCAATATGCTATAAATAGTATAGGCATTATTCATAGCAATATCAAGTAAATCAAAGAACAATCGCAGATAGTATTTGATTTTTGCTTTACGATCTACCTCATAGCATACTTTTCTTTGATCCATCAAATCGACACCTCCCATGTGACTATTATATTGTACGACGACTTGTGGACACGGAACATTTATTTTCTCATTACTTCCCTGCACCCTTCTCTTCACCACTGTAGTAGGAATCGGTGACAAAAAGTTTGTCAATAAAAAAACAGCTTTGTTGTCCATCCATTTTATAAATGAAATGCCGTGTGAACTGGTCGTAAATATATCTCCTCTTTGCATAGTTTTATCAGCCGGTACATTTTTGGGTATATTCTTTCTGTTATAACGAACTGTTCCACAACCTCTAATATTTCTTTTTGTCAACTCATACTGCAGGTTGGGAGAATTAAAAAAATTATCAAAATAAATTTCGCAGCCTAAGCCTTGTAAACTGTTTGTAAGTTGTAAAATCACTGACTCTCCTAGTCCAGTTTCAGCACCACCTTGTTTTCGTCCAGTATACAAATCAAATTCAAACAAATAACCAGTCTTTGAATCGGCTCTACACCACATCTTGAACCCCCACTTGACTGGTTTATTTTTGACATACTGTCTCATTATATTGTGCCCTTTGAACTTGATCATATGTTCGTCTATTGACTGCGTTTTTGTATTAGACATAGCGTTTTGGAAGCTCTTGTTGAAATGATTCATAACAGGACGTATTTTACATGCCCTATCGTAAGTTGGTTGCATTCGAGGTGGTTCATTATTATTGTCGCTAAAATGTAAGTTTCTTCTTATTTCTTCAAATCGGTTCAATGGCATTACGTTCGCGATGAATGGAACGCCCATGTCAGGGTCTGAGGACCAATAGCTACGAAATGTAGGCAAGACATGATATCCCATTACGTAGTTCATCCCCAAAAAAGCTTTTGCCTCTGCACTGGTGAAAGAGAAAGGCCTTCCATTTTGCATGGCGTATCGTTCCGACTCTGGCAGAATAATGTCGTCAATCAATCGATCAAAATTTGTCACTGCATTGAATATCATAATAGGAGTCAAATTTAAGCTATTTGAAATATTAATTTCGCCATATTTATAATCTTCTTCGTCGCGAAACTGGTGAGGCACGTAAGAATTTCGTCTCCAGTTGTAGGTAGGTGGCGAATAATTTACGTTTGTTTGTGTACGTAAATTTTCGTCTAAGCTGGGTTCTACGCCTGGGACGCTTTGGCTAGTTAAAGTGGTAGGTTCAATTTCAGTGGTGGAGTAACCCGCATCGATGTCTTGAGCCAGAAACTGCTGATCTTCTTCATCTAGTGTCAGGGCACCTTCATCGTCACTGTTATCAGCCGCTAGAACTTCTATAATAACATCGTCCCGCAAAGAAAATTCTCTATGCCTTCTTGCAGACATGTTCTGAAACAAATAATTTAAAGTGTTTGTTTAGTCACAAGTAAAATATGTACTAAAAACCTCATAACAATGTGAAACTCGTATATTTATAGAAGTAGCGAAATACATATTGGAAAAACTCCGTTATTGCATACTGGGACAACCGCGTCCCTTTAAAACTTTTTGTAAAAACTATCTAATTATTGCTTGAAGTGTTTGAAAAACAGATAAAACGTACAAAATACTTACCAAAGAATACAGTTTTATACACTCTATCACTTGAAACTGCAAGATTTTTATAAAATCAAAAATATAAAACACAACTTTCGTCAACAAAAAACTTATAAGTTCGCGCCTTGTTTTTTTTTCTCTAATAAGTGACATTTAGTGTTGCCATAGCAAGTATCAAAAATCATACTATAAAAATTGAAAATACGAAAATAAAAATGATTTGATAAAATAAGTTTAGCACAAAACCCAAATAACTGACGGGGACAAATGTGTCCCATATGCGTGAAAGGGTTAAATGTATACACACAAACATATTGTCACACCTGTCTTCCATTGTGGTAGGCAGAGCAGAGATAACAGAACGCATAATACCACGATTCTGAGATACCTCGTTCGCTTCATCTACATACATATTGATCAAACTCTTCATGGATGCTTAATTGTCGATTGAAAGAGGTGTTAATTATTCATTAAATTACTTACAACCAGTTACTGAAAGGGTAGGTACTCAATTTTGTTGTAGTTAAATATCATGCTATCTCTTTCATATAACATAACATCACGCCTTTTATCCCTGAAGGGATAGGCAGAGGTGTACATTACGGCACTTAATGTTCCTGTACAATGTAACACCTACTTTTCACTATTTATGTTATGAGTCTCATGTAATAGGGAGTGAGTCTCTTTCCATATACCGGGCACAATTCCAGACTCGGTGCTACTACTGAGACTTAAAAAAACATGCTTTTTTTTAAACGTTTCGTAAATCGTAAATTTCTAATTATAAGTTTGAAATCGCCAACCCGCATTGAGCAAGCGTGGTGATTAATGCTCAAACCTTCTCCGTGTGAGAAGAGGCTTTGCTCAGCAGTGGGCACTTATAGCCTGTTGATGATGATGATGATACATAATAAAGTTGCATAACAATTGTCATGAATGATGAAAATGCAATACATAACATTCGTAGTTAATACAATATTCAGTATTAATCATTATATTAAGTGCTCCGAAGCACTTCTATAGTACGTTACAATTCTAATAGTAAATAATCTTATCAATATATTTAGCTATAAGTATTTAATCTGTTAACATATAGTTTTTACTTTTCCAATCGATTTGCTATCTATATTTTATAGTAAGTACAACGAAAACAAAACACTCCTTACCATTGTAAGCAGTGATTTGTATTTAGCTGTCGCAACGCAATTATTGGCTAATTTTCTATCAAATTAGATCAATATTATCAAGCACATAACATAAAATCACAGTAGTAGCACGGAGTCTGGATTTGTGCCCGGTATATAGCAATAGGCTCAACTCCCAACTCCCAACAACTTAAGCGCGAATTATGTACCTAATCAAGCTTACTACACACTGACAGATTATCTTGAAGATAAGAATGCTTGGCAGCATGTTGGTTCGGCTCCACTGGACAATACTCAAATGTAGTCAGTAGTTAAATTCCAATAGTAGGTAATATAATACATAATTTAATACTTTAATTCTAATGTAGACAATCTAGTTTCCTTATGGCATCGAGCATTTCTTTCTTTATTGAAACAAAGAGTTTCCTTTTTCTTGTATAGAAGCACTATTTTTATGGATTGTCAGTATGCATATGTGAGCACCGTGTTGGACTTAAGATCTTTATTATTTTTATTTTTATTTTAGTAAGTTAGTAGTATAATGCGTCAAGCGTGTCTTTGCATTGTTCTTACATATGCGTACAGTATTGAAATATGTATCAGAGACATTGTAGAACATACTTTTTTAAAAGAGTAACGAATGGAGTTTCTTGCTCGTTCTTCTCCATTCGAATCTACGTTTTGGAATGAGCACCTAGCTTCACCTAGCTTCACTGACGGACTGACTGACAGACTATTATTTATTTTGTATTTGTTGACGTTTCAAAAGTACCAAACTATGGTTTAATTGAAATAAATGCTTTGACTTTTGACTTTTGATTTTCCCATTACATGAGACTCATAACATAAATAGTGAAAAGTGAGTGTTACATTGTACAGTGGCATTAAATAAATGTAACCGGGGCTCCGGGTCGACGTGCAGGAGAAGGAACGGGGTAGTTTTTAGTCAGTAAGAGTCTGACACTCCCTCCCGCCTCACCCAGACGGGAGCAGTCATTCGATGATCTCCCCCCTTAGAAAAAAAATGTGCACCTCTGCCTACTTCAAGGAAAAAAGGCGTGATGTTATGTCATGTATAATCTTCGTCCAAGTCTAACAAACACTTTAAATCAAAACCGCATCAAAATCTGTTCAGCCAATGGTGAGGTAATCGCGCACCAACATGTAGGTCAAATTGAGAACCGCCAAGTTTTTTGAAGTCGGTTAAAAACATAATTAAATGACAAAAGGATGTACAAACTAAGAACGTGCGCCTCTGCCTACCCCTGCGTGAAGTTATGTTACCTGACCCATTCTCCAATAAGGTCTAACCAACGGAACTTTACAGACGTGGTTGGTTTTTTAATCAGTCATAATGATAGTGAGTTAGCTACTTTTATAAACCGTGTTGTCTTACACGAAACATACATATATAACTTCACGCTTGTCTCCCATGGGGGTAGGCAGAGACTATGGAACGCCAATTGCTACGATTCGCTTCATCAACAGTCATCAATCTTTTCATGCATTGTCGTCGGTTAAGGATACTTTTAATTTGGCCTTCTATAATATATCGCCAATCTGGTCACGATATGTCCGTCTTTTTTTTCTGAAGAGGGGAAAATCATCGAATGACTGCTCCCGCCTGGGTGAGGCGGGAGGGAGTGTCAGACTCTTACTGACTAAAAACCACCCCGTGCCTTCTCCTGCACGTCGAGCCGGAACCCGGCAACCCGTTAGGTTCTCCACGACAGTATAATATGTCCGTCTAGGGCGTCCTCTACCGACAGCCCCATTCATATCCGCTCTGTATACTTCTTTCGTTACTCTACTTTCATCCATCCTTTCTACGTGCCCAAACAAGCGTAACATTCCCTTTTCAATCCTTGTCACTACATCATCTTTCAATTTTAATCTACACATACTTCTCAGGGCTCTCATTAATCCTGCTTTCATGCTTCTTCTGCCACACCCATGATTCACTAGCATACATAAGCGTTGGTGTCAATACACACTGCATTACAGCAAGTCGAGCTTTGCTGGATATTATATTACTCGACATTACAGAGTGTAAAGCACCATTAACACTATCGGGAGATAGTGTTAATGGTGCTTTCACTCTCCTTTCAATATCCCCGTCACACTTTCCATCTCTCGTAAATAGTTATCCCGGATAAACAAACTCATTCACTTGTTCCAATGTTATCGGTCTAGCCGTTTCAGAGATTAGCCAGTACAAACAATTACTTTGGCATAGGTATCGGTATATTAAAAAGAAGTTTTTCAATATTACAAATAGACCCTCCAATTTCATTTATCTGTAGGTATAGATTGCAGTCTAAACTGCTTTAAATTATATCCGAATAGATTAACAAACTCGTACATTATATCGAAGGTATCTCATCTATGTTGCACAGCTATAATAAATAAACCCAATTATGCCGTCCGCCATTGTTGCTAGAGGAAGTGACGTCAGACTACTATGCATAATGAGCACCGGTGTGTTAGTATTGTAATGTTGGCACTTTTTATATGTTACGGTTGTGTGCAGAGCCGTATTATCCCTAAGGTAAAACTAGACAAGTGATTAAGGCGTCAGGATACAGAGGGTTGGCCCAAGACGCCAGACGCCGTGCCCAACTATCGAAAGAGTGGCGGCGATGACAAAAAATTGGGGACTTTCCTTAATCAAAAATAAATTATTTCGACTGTTCAATACAATATCTAAAATATTAAAAAATAATCACACTTCCTTTCGTGAGACATCAATACATAGTATAAAACAAAGTCGCTTTCGCTGTATGTCCGTATGTATGCTTAGATCTTTAAAACTACGCAACGGATTTTGATGCGGTTTTTTTTAATAGATAGAGTGATTCTTAAGGAAGGTTTATATCATGCATATTGCACCCGTGCGAAGCCGGGGCGGGTCGCTAGTACTAAATAAATTATTATGTTTTCGGCTTACTCTCGCAGTAATTTGACGAGGAACTCGACTAGTTTCAAGACAGTCACCGCGTCGCGGGTCGCGAAATGCTGCTCATGAATATTTGCCTCTAGCATGGCTTGAAACTAGTCGAGTTCCTCGTCAAATTATTACGTGAGTAATCATCCATCCATTTATGACCAACTTAATTTTAGTATATTTCCAGCATGTTCTTAAGAAATAAATACGCTGTTGAACGCTAAAAAAACGTGACGTCACAATTCAAAATCTCGTACAAAATTCATAGAAAACTGTCGTTTTTGACAGTTCGAAAAAAGTATTGAATTTGACTAGTTGCCAAGTACCCAAATAGGGGCGTCAATGAGGTGCTTACCTAGTTGAAATTAACATTAAACAATGTCAATTACATTGACCCCATACTAACTAGTCTAGTAATTTTAACTAACCATACATACATCCATAACCTCACGTCTGTCTCCCATGGAGGTAGGCAGAGACTATTTTTTTTGACGTGACAACGTCTTAAATTAGGTTGCGGCTGGGAGTCACTTATGAAAAAGTGTAACGCTCGGTAACGTTACGATGAGTCACCAAACGAGAGAGAGGCCCGCCGAATGCCTTGCGTCTCTCTCCCACTCAACTATGATCGGTCTGCCGCGCGCGCAGCACTAGTTCATTCAATTCCTTGTTCCTATTGTGCAATTTAATTATATTCATATCAATAAATATTCTACCGAGAAAAAGACGTTGTCACGTAAAATCTTCGCCCGTAAAAACGACTTTACAGGCAACCATTTTTTTTAACGGGGGAAGACTGACTGAATGACTGCTCCGCCTGGGTGAGGTGGGAGGAAGTGTCAGACTCAGACTAAAAACCACCACGTTCCTACTCCTGCACTACAAGCCGGAGCCCCGGTAACCCGTTAGGTTCTCCGCGACTCCGTATCGGCATCAGTCCTATTGGGCCTCATCCGTGGTGGTCTGATGGCTCTTTGCGACACGCCATACGCTCGGGTCTGGTTCTGGTCGGGCGGCGAGCCACCCATGCTCGCCGTCCGCAGGCCCGCGCTTGGAACGCCAATTGCTACGATTCATAATACCTCTTTCGTTTCATCAACAGTCTTTTCAAGCATGCTCGTGAGTTAAGGGCACTTTTATTAATTCGGGTTATTAAATATATTCTTTTATATTTTTGTGACTGCGTTGACCGAGTGATTGTAAATGCCGGGCAAGACTCGGGTACGATTGCCGTCGGGCAAAGTATAACAAGGTTCTTAAAAAAAATCTCAGTGGTAGCACGGAGGCTGGATTGTGCCCGGTATATGGCAACAGGCTCACCCCTAATACATGGGACTCATAACATAAAATAGTGAAAAGTGGGTGTTATATTGTACAGTGGCATTAAGTGCCGTAATGTGGGCCTCTGCCTACCCCTTCGCGGACAAAAGGCGTGATGGTATGTTATATTTTTGTGCGATTATGAACTTCAGACATAATGTGAATTGTTGAATGAATGATTTGGTACTCTTCTGCTGGACTATGACTTAGTCTCCTCTAAGACCTAACAGAGGTCGCAGGCAGTCGCTGTATCCAGGTCGCTTCCAACCTCGTGATGTGCAGTCATTGGGGGAGGACTGTGGGGGGCAATGGACAGTACGTGGCTGTACGCATTATGATGATAACAAAGATAACTCACTTGAAATGTCATGGGCAGATCTTCAGCCGTAACGGGGCCTTCCTTATGTTCCTCTTTTTCTGACATTTTGATATATTATATTTACATCACTTTTCAGTTTTTTGTTTTATTTGTATCTGTCGCGTAACTTACAGCCTTCACATTATATTACCTGTAAGTAAAGAAAACAGTGATTATTGATTAACTCGTCGAGTACCGGTTTTGCAGACACAATTATAGAACAATAGGTTGCGGTCACCGGTGACCGCTTGGTATTTGACAGTTTAAAAAACAAATCAGAATAACTTAATGTCTATAGATATCGCGGTAGGCCCAGAAGGAGATGGCGGGATAAACTTGACGTCTATGAAAAAGATTGATCACAGAATGTCAATAATTAGTCAATGTCAAAACTATATAACCCCAATCGTAGCTGTTAAAACAGCATTCAAAGTAAGAAATGTAAAGATAAAGTCAATACCATTTAGTTCATTCAATATTCACGCAATACCGATGCAATGGGCGCTAGTGTTGCAACTAGTTTAGATAGTAAGATTTATTTTGTAATCTGACTTTTTACACCAAATAAACATTTTATTATTATTATTATTTATTACTAGCTGGCCCGGCAAACTTCGTACCGCCTAATAATGGTTTTTCTCACCTTTTAAACCTTTCCTGGACTTCCACGAACATTTCAAGACCAAAATTAGCTAAATCGGTTCAGCCGTTCTCGAGTTTTAGCGAGACTAACAAACGGAAATTGATTTTTATTTATATACCTCTAGGTTAAAAAAAAGCTCAAGGGTACGAAATTTCACAATATCGAAGATCGGAAGTGGATTCAATGGTAAGCCCCCTGATCGGGGGTCGACAGATCTACTCATAGATACTAGCACAAGAGAAAAACTGTTGAAATTACACGTGGATGGAACCGCAAACGGAAATCAAGTATATTGCAAGTATCACTACATAGTATAAAACAAAACAAGGTTGCTATCCGCCGTCTGTCTGTCCCTATGTATGCTTAGATCTTTAAAACTACACGACGAATTTTGATGTGTTTTTTTTTCGTACATAGAGGGATTCTTAAGGAAGGTTTATAATTATGTATAATACATGCATATTGTATCCGTGCGAAGCCGGGGCGGGTCGCTAGTTAAGTATACAAATATGTCGCGGAGAACCTAACGGGTTACCGGGGCTCCGGCTCGACGTGCAGGAGAAGGAACGGGGTGGTTTTTAGTCAGTATGAGTCTGACACTTCCTCCCGCCTAACCCGGGCGGGAGCAGTCATTCGATGATTTTCCACCCTTTAAAAAAAAAGGTGCTTACGTAATACTTGAACGGCCCCAGTCATAATATTTTAATATTTTAAACGAAGCAGTGTTGATTTGTATGTATGTATCTATGTATGTTTGTGCGCGATTATCTCGTGACTGGCTGAACCGATTTTGATGCGGATTTCAGAAAATGGTTCTTAACCTTAGGAGAAAGTTTTAGTATATTAGGTACTAAAGCGACTTCAAATAAAAGAGGGGATTGAAGTCGGTTTTATTAAACGTAGTTTTTTTATGGTATAAGCCGGTAAACGAGCAGACGGATCACCTGAGGATAAGCAAACGTCGTCGCCCATGGACACCTGAAACACCGAGGCGTTTTGGGAATTGGGAATTTGAGGATTGTGGAGGATTCGGGAATTGGGGAGACTGGTCAGGCGTAATTGGGCCTCCGGTAACCTCCCTGACACGACGAAATACAACGTAAGCGTTGTTTCACGTCGGTTTTCTGTGAGGCCGTGGTATCACTCCGGTCGAGCCGGCCCATTCGTGCCGAAGCATGGCTCTCCCACACTTAGTACACGTAGTTTATATAATTAATTATTATTATTGAGATAAAATTCCAGAAACGCAATGACATAGTAGTTGGACATTTCATAGCTTATTCTCAAAGTCCGTAATACACGCGAGCAAAGCCGCGGGCATCGGCTAGTATGAAATATAATAAAATGAAGTAATACACACAAGAATTTCTTTATTCATATAACATTCAAGGTTACTGTTATCGGCTTATCAATCTATATACTATGCATATATACTAGAACGTGCTCTTCACAGCTGTATCGTCATACTTGACTACTTAATTATCTAGATAGTATTTCTAGACTGCCTTGTTGCTCGAATGGTCGCAAGTGTGACTGTCGGGCAAGGGGTCTCGGGTTCAATTCCCAGGTCGGGCAAAGTACTACTGGGTTTTTCAAATTCTCAGTAGTAGCACGGAGTCTGGAGCTATATGGCAATAGGCTCACGTCCCTTTACATGGGACTCATGATATAAAAAGTGAAAAGTGGGTGTTACATTGTACAGTGGCATTAAGTGCCGTAATGTACATCTCTGCCTACCTTTTCGGGGATAAAAGGCGTGAAGTTATAAAAAAGTATTTCGAATTATTTTAGACTAACAACATTAATGTGCCTTGAGAGTCCACTGCTGTGAGCAACCTCCTCTTCATAAGGGAGGTTGTCGCAAGGTCCAAACCTAGTATATTACCATAAATAGGTCGCAATTGGATTTCGCGCTACTAGATACTGAAAAAATCAAATACTATGCTCGGCAATAGCCTTCAGACCATTTGATCAACGAAGCAATATATAAAATGTTTTTTGTAATATAAATATTTCTTTTTTAATAAATAATGTTTATTATCCAACTCTCTGCTCAAACGGAACAATTCACCACAGGGAATAATGCTAACTTAACACAAACAAAGTCGAAGGCAAAAGCCAGTATTCAAAACATTTGATTTTAAAACTCGATGCGTAAACGCATGAAGATTACACCTGTTTTATTTTGTAACGGTCGAGTCAACTGTGTTCCCCTAAATTTAACAGGGGAACAGGTGCGATACGCAAAAAATGACGCTTTTTTATGGGATGGGTACGCCGCCGGTACACGAGCAGACGGATCACCCGATGGTAAGCAATCGGCGCCACACATGGACACTCGCAATACTTATAGAGTTACAATTTTTTATGGGACAAGCTCTCCCCAATCTCCCAAAAACCGCTGCAACTCCTGTGCACCAGGATCTACAGTAGATACAACCATGAAAACACCGGAACACTGAAGTACAACGTCCCAAGAACATGATCAATTGCCTTGGATCTCGCAACGAAATAAATCAGAAGATATTATTATGTAGAGAAGAGGAAAAAATCGA